ATATTTTTTCGTGGCTTTAGTGTTAATGGAGTTCAGACACGAGGACTCCCACATTAGCAAGGAAGATTTGTCTAACGTACCAGTTGCCATATGTCACCAGTTTGGACAGAATCAGGTTAATGGGTTTTTGTAATTTATCATTGCACTTCCTAGTGCCTATATTAATTAACGTGAGATATAACGAGTGCTGAAATGGTGGGAAACAGAGGGGCACTTTCCATTTAGCTGATTGGACGGTATTGAGTGCGTCTCGCTCACGGTGACTTATGGCTTTGTCAACGGGAAAAGCATCACACCCTATTTTGGGATTCTGTCTGAGTGGGGGAGTGCAGGTTTGGCAGCAGATATGGAATACATCAAGGATGGGCAACTATCTTCATTTTTTTTTTTTTTCTGGGAAAAAGAAAAATTGGAAGGTCAGATGCCAGTTCTGGGTGCACAGCCATATTTTATTAGTTTAGAGCAGAGTACTGAGGCACCTCACACATACTCCATGTCTTCTCAGGACGTGACTCCATCTTGGTTTGTTTTCTCTTTTTTGTTTGTCCATCACTATTGATCAGGGACCTGCTCCTGGTTTTTAATTACAACCTTATGAAGAAAAATGCCCTAATAGTAACGGCACTAGGCTTTGTTCTTCATTTCTGCTTCTTCTGCCAATCATCATCTGCAGAACTGAATCATCTGTACTATACTTTGGCCAAGCTCTGACTTGTACATGCACTCCTAGTGACTCACCTCTTGTGCTTTTTTGACACTAAATCATTCCAGATTACCCAACATAGCTTTATCTGATGGTACCTGCACTTCATCTTAATTAAAGACAATGTCATTTCCATGTTTGGGCTTTTGGCTTCTGATCCCAGCTCTCCCTACATCTTTCTGTGCACTTTGTGTGGTTTTAATATCCCTTTTAATATTTATTTTTTACTAAAATAATTGTTTTGTTTTGTTTCAATAAGTGTCTATGAAATTGAATGGGACACTTCCATTAAGGAATACTTCCCTACTGAGGAAATAGTGTTTTGTTTGTTTGTTTGTTTGTTTTTTTGTTTTTTTCCTGCAGAGATAATATACAGAAATAAAACAAACTCATGTTTCTTCTCAGCCTTATGAACCAGCTGAAGTAATCCCCTTCTTCACCAAGTCCTTTTCGGGCTGAAGGACACCTACATCCTACTGGGGATGCTTTTTCAACCACCTCTCTCCCTAGGCTGCCCATAGCAAACTGGTTGGTAGCGAGCAGCCCCCAAGAAGCCAAGGCCATAACATGATGAGCACCACCTTGCACAGGAGTCCAGGGTGGATGGTCCTGTAGCTCTGCAAGTGACCTGCAAACCCAGCGCAGTTATGAGGTGGTTGATGTGAGGTGTTACGCTATAGTAAGATGCCCACCTGGGAAATATCTTTGCTTTTAGCCCATTTGTCTCAGTGCTGGAAGTATTATTCTATTTTATTGTTCTTACATATTTTATTCCCAACAACCACAGTCTCCACATTCTCTCAATTACTTCACTCAGTGAGAATATCTCTATACCATCCACTGAGCACGTGTGTCTAGAGCTCAACGATAGTGAGAACCTGAAGGTGGGAGCTCCATCCCTAGCTCCTCTGGTCCTAATTTGTGTAAGTCTCTTCACACAGAAGTTTCTCTTTTCATAAAACTATGCAAACATCAGGTAATTCAATCCAACTGAACTGGAAAACTGACCAGGGTGGACAAAACCAGCTAGCCCAGAGGGTGGGAATGGAGAAGACCTGGCCCAGGCAATCTGGATGCCACTAAACTCAGCTGCAATGCCTGAGGGCATTAACAGACCTTAATGGCCCTGAGCAGCCCCAGCTGGGGCCTCCACCCATGCTCTCTGCTGCAGGCTGAGGAGCCTCATTTAAGCTCAGCCCTGGGCCCTGTTCCTGTTTGAGCTATGCTGGAGGGATGCTGGTCAGTTGTATCTCTGCCCAGAGCACCTACTGCTCTGGGTGTTGAACTGGAGGCTGAACGAGGCTCCTGGCTTGACCTCAGACCCATCCTGTTACCATGTAAGTCTGTTGTTCACTGGGGTGTGTTGGACCCTGGTTACCATTTCTGGACCTGGTTCTGACTGGTGGGTTGGCTTCTACCTTGACCTTGGATCTGCCTCATCCCCATGGGCTTTCCTTATGACCTGACCTGGGTTGTTGATGGAATTTGGCTGCTGTCTCTGGGCCTGCTCTGCTGGCTGTGTTGCTGCTTGTGGCTTGCTGATCCTTAGGGGATCCCTGACGATATCTTCCTCAAAGTCTTGAGATTCTTTCTGTGTGCTGACCCCCCTTTTCTTTGCCCGGAAGAACACCAGATCTGGGGGCAATAAAGGCTCCTGGGTATTCTGTATGAAACTCCAAATTCTCTGAAGTCACTTTGAGCTTTGTTTCTAAATCTAATGGATATATCTAGAGGAAATGGAGTTCCCAGATAACCAAGCTTTAGCTTAATCCCAAAGCAGTAACACTTTTTTTTTTTTTTTGAATAAACCTCAGACTAGAGGAGTTCAGCAACTTGCAAGATGCAGGAGGCAGTGTTGAGCTGCTGTGAGTAGGAGAGTCTGAGCCTTGCTTAGAGTGGCAGGTTTCCAAACCACTTTGTATGCTGTGCATTTGGGATTTGAGGAGAGGGAGGAATTTTTCTTTTCCAGTGCTTCCTGAGAACATTGCATGCATCATATATTTCAGGTGAGCCTCAGCAGAGTTCACGGGCTTTGCTGCGGTCTTATGGTCTCCACTTAAGCTTTGCTTGTTTGGTCCTAAAGTGAACAACCTGCTGTGGGAGGAGGACCTGTGGGAAAAGAGCCTTTGCTTAAGGTTGGGAGAAAGGGTGTGTAAACTGTCCTGCAGCCTCTGCACCAAGGATGAGACTTGGCTGAGACCAGGTGTCTCAGCTGGTGGAGACAGGACTTTATTCTGTGCCACATGGGGAGACTCCTGTCTCTGCTCCGAGCATTTCCAAGGATAAAACAAGGGTGGGGAATGACAGAGTTGGAAAAAAGGAGGGGTTGTGCTCCACATAGGGGAAGGCAGACTGGAGGCATAGCAGCCTCAGCAAGAGGGAGGAGTTAAGGAGCTTTTAGCAGCAAGAAAGGAGAGCTGCCCTCACAGCAGGGGTGAGGTGAGCTTTGTAGAGGAATTCAGAAAGGCGTGAATCATTTTGCTCCCATCCTGAGCAGTGACTCGCAGTGCATTTCCCCAGCCTATTGTATACCCCTACCCCCTCTGTCCACTTGTATGCCCACTAAAACATTCCCCTCCTCGATTGCCCAGTCCCTGTGGTCCCCTAGTGCCTGTCCTTCCCTGCATAACCATCATAGACCTGACACCCCTTGTCTCTCCTCTCTGCTTTATTCTTGCAGCTGTCTGTCCCTCTTTCTCTCCAATGGTGCTTCACTGATAGGAATCAAAGAAGGAGACACTGACAAACACCCTGCCTTCTTCAGCCTTCATTCTTTGTATGTTTAATATCTGATTTCTTCTCTGCCTGTGTCACTTCTACCCCAGGGTGAACCTGAGAGAGCAAAGCCCAGTCTGGTCCTGTTATTTAGAGCACCACTGGAAGGTGCTCAGATACCCTGCTGCTGGCTGGTGCAAAGCCTCGGACAGCACAGCTTCACTGCGGAAAGGAATTAAAATAATGTGCGCATAAGCCAGAAGAGCAGCCCCCCTTGCAGCTCCCTGAGAGGAGGGAGTGCATAATGGGGAGGGAGATGTAGTTATAAAATGAGATTCTCTGTTCCTCAGGGGACTGTTAAAACCAGTCAATATTTATGAAGCTTTTAGTCTGACTCATGCAATTTGTTCCCCCTTCTACGTGCTTGTCTTTGGGACTCAGCTGTTGCTTGGCCTGTTACTGACACAAAATGAGATGCTCTGGTTTAACTGTCTCCTTGCTTAGCGAAGGAAGAGATAAAGGTCCCAGGCAGGGCATATGAAATGGCTCCACTTGTCACCTCGCTGCAGCCAGCCAAGGGAGGGCACAGAGGGAAGCATCACCAGCTCCCATCAGAGGGGGATTGCACTGGAGAGAAGCAGTGCCTCGTGGTTAAGGCAGAGGAGGGCAAGAAGTGCAGCTGGTCTTCCTGCCTGCCTTTCACATCTGCTCTGAGGACTGCCAGGAGACCGTTCAACTTCTTAGAGAACAAGCCAGCTCCAAAGTGTTCTCCTGGAATGAGGGCTGAAAGAGCAATGCAGGACTGTTAAAGCATGGGATGTGGGGGGAGGCAGTCTGCGGAGAAGAAGCTTGCACCAGAGACAGCCGTGACGCTGTTTGCACCTCTGCCTCTTAATCCCAAGCTGGAGCACCTTCTCCAGACCAGATCTCAGTCTCCCATCCCTCCTCAGAAAGAGTTATTTAGCTGAGCCAGGATAGTGTCCTGAAATGGTGTGATCTGGAACGACCTTTTTACACCATCAGTTTTACTCTAAATTTGATCCTTCTGTTCTGACTCACCTTCTGCAGGCCCAGAGTCCATCCCAGATGATGTGTGAGCAGTGTCCCTGAACTCAGCAGGGACTCAGTGCCCAGTAAGCCATGCTGCAAGGTTTCCTTACAAGAACAGTATTACCCTACAGACGCTAATCTTCCTTGGCCTACAGAAAGAGGAGGAAGGCTGAGAGTGATCTGGAGAAGGAGCTGGTTTTCAGGACATCATCTTCCCTCTCCATCAGCTGTAGGACATTAGAGAACAGCCACTTGTGGAAGTGGTAACTGAGTTAACAGATCAGTACACAGCAAACAAGATGTGATTTCTGCCCTGGAGCTGGGACTTGCCCTCCACAAAAGTAGTTACAAGCCCATCACCCTGCCAGCAGTGACAGACCTCAGCTCCTTTTTTTTTTTTTAAGGTCTGTGTTGGAAGAGACCTTAAAGCCCACACAGTTCCAACCCCCTGCCATGGGCAGGGACATCTCCCACCAGATCAGGTTGCCCAGGGCTCCATCCAGCCTGGCCTTAAACACTTCCAGGGATGGGGCATCTGCAGCTTCTCTGGGCAACCTGCTCCAGTGCCTCACCACTCCTCACAGTAAAGATTTTCTTCCCAATATCTAATCTAAACCACCCTTTAGTTTAAAGCCATTCCCCCTTGTCCTATCACTGCGCCCATGCTGGTTCTGAGGCAGCCTCTGCAGAGCTAGCCTGTTCTGAGCTGTCCTCAGCAAGCTCCAGTACCCCAGGGCTGCTGTCAGTGGGGCACCGTGTGTGTCCTCCAGACCACACCGCAGCCACCAGCTGGTAAAATTCACAGCCTGCTGTACGTGCTGATGTGGACTTGGCAGCTCCCCATGTGACTGAGGAGGAATGAACTGCCTCTCAGTTGTATTGTTGCAAGCGTTGGGCTGAAGATGCTGAATGCTACCTGCACCAAGGACCTCTGCAAGGATCCTTTGCTGTGGCCAGAATCCTTTGTACGGGAATGTGTGTGCGTGTCCATCTGTCTCTGAGTGTTTTGCCTGGATTTTGCACATTTCTACTTCAATCAACAATTCTCAGTAAGTCTAAATTGAACACAGTCTGTACGTGTACTTGGGGCAGCATGGCCATAAACGAAACGGGGTAATTTGCTGCTAGAAATGCTCACTGGGGCACTTTTAGGGCTGTGGAGGTCAACTCTGTCTGCTAACGGTGCCAACTTTCACGCCATCCTTCCCCTTTCTCCCTCTTCCTCATCTCAGTTTACATCATATGGCCTTTTGACTTACTGAGAAATACTTGTTTTTTGTGTTGGTATTTTTTTATTTGGAAAATGTTCTCACTAATGGTCACCCAGGGGAGGTCTTGTAGAGTAAATATATCTGTTTTGTTTTGAGGAAATTTGCATAGGCAACCATAATACTTGCACTTCTGAGAGTCTGTCTTCTCACCTAGCCTGCCATTTGCACACAGGGCTCCTGAGACTCTCTGGTAGCTCCTGCACAGGCAAAATGTGTTTTGTTGAGTGAACATCAATGCTTTGTGGATGTAAACTTGTATGTACAGAATCATGACTTGAAACGAGAGATACCACTGAGATTTGAGGGTCTATCCATCCCTCACATCACAAAGCCCTGAAAGTAGCCTTGGAAATCAAGGCTGGCAGAAGTGATAACACAAGATTATTATTTTATTTTTTTTTCCTAACCAGCAAAGTATGGGAGGGTGGAAATGAAAAGGTGATCTTAGGTAAATTTAGCAGTTGCTCACTGTGGAATATGGCAAGCTTGGTGCCATACGAGAGCTGCACTGACTTCAGCCCCCATCAAAGTCCTTCCCACGACATCACTGTTGAAATCTCATCCAGGCATTAGTGGCTGAGTAACTGATGGCAGGCCAAGGGGCTTCCCCACTACCTGCCACTTTTATTAGGTTGCTTCTGCCTCTGTTGTGCAGGCTTGCAGGCAGCTCCCCGCGGAGCACAAAGAGAAGAAGAAATATCTGTTCTGGGGGTTGCTGTTCTTCTGACCTGTAAGAGTAAATGAAAGCATGAAGCAGAGCAGATGAGGGAAAAGTGGTAAATCCACCAGTTTTAGTATTACTTCTCACTTTCTTCAGTGCAGGAGAATTTTGGAACGCTTTTTGTCTCTTTTGCTGATGTGAAACTTAACTGTTTCTTTGGGGTTGGGGGTGAACTACTGCCCTTGCAAATGCATATGTAAAATTGCAGGCACAGATGCTGAGCTCATTTGCACACTGCAGTTTCCTGGGCAGCCTGTGCGAACATCTGATCTGTGCATGTAGCTGAGCTGTGAGCAGCATTATACCTGACTTCTTGTTGAATGGGTTCTCTCTCCAACTGGAAAGTCAGCGAAAGCCCTGTAAGTGCACAGCTCGCGACTTTCCTGCTGCCTCCCATTATGTTACACGTAAGCACGGATTTTTTTTCCTTTGTTCTTCTGTTGCAATCACTCCATTCATCACCCCTGGCGTGCTTTGTTTTATAATACCCTAATCCTTGCAGGCTTCTTCTCCACTTTTCCTCCAGGGAGCCTGAGTTGAACCCTTCAGCTACCTATGGAAATTGCACACCTGCTTCTTGGTGCTCCTTGCCAAGTACTGTAACATCGCTTCCTCTCATCGGTCCTTTCTAGCACAGCACTTGAAGCCTCTCCTAAAGTGCATCTTTGCTTGCTTGGAAAACCCTCATGGGTTTTGGACACGGGTTTGTATGGCATCTGATATCCCAAAACACCTAGAACCATTTTTTGCATCCCTTTGCATTGACCAGTAACTGACACACACGTTCCTGCCTGTGGGATCATTATCCTCTGTCTGCCCCCACAACAGCCTCATCAGTCGGGGTTAGCCTTGCAGCCATTAAGGAAACTTTAACAAAGACTGTTCTGCTGAAAGAGAACATCTTGATGAGGCCCAATTTATTTCACAGTTGTTATCCTGCTGACCTAAAATGACAGCATGACACTTGGAGCAGTGCCCGGTTTATTTAAGAAGCGAGCACAGAATTGTGTCTCGTGGCCTGCAGAAGGAACAGAGCAGCACAAGGCGCTCCCAGCTCCTGGTCCTAGCAGCTCCCACCCCCAAAATCTCACTGTGGCTTTTCTCGGGGCCAGTCCAGATGGTGTTGCTTTTAGCTGTTTTTAATAGTTCCAGTCTGTGCTTCACACATCCCTTCAGGAGCATGTGGAGGGCTGGGGGGGGGGCATTGTGTGTTGCCCCAGGATGACATGTATGCTGTTTGGGGCAGCACCGGATGCCTGGAAACAGCTCAGGAAAGTGCCCGGGCTCCCTGGGGACTGAGACTTGCCCAGTGGCACGCTCCCAGCCATCACTGACGCCCTGCCTGCAGCTCTCTGATAGACCACACTCCTCTGGTTGCAGTGTGCTTGGTCCTCAGGGTCTGCCACGGAGGGAGATGCGACATGGTGTGAGGACGAGGGGCTGGAGTCGCAGGCTGCAGCATGGGGAAGTCCGTCTGTGTCACAGTAAAAAAAGAAATGAGAAAAGAGTGGAACAGTGCTTGGAGAGGTCATGCGATCTCCAGCCTTGAAGATCCTTAAAACTCACCTGGGCAAGGCCCAGAGCAAGCCCGTCAAATTTTGAAGTTGGACGAGAGCTCTGCAAATGTCCCTCCCAAATCAAGGTGCTTCATGGAAGAGGAGTTAAATGTGTGCCGTGAACTTGAGCTCAAATTCTGGATCAGATTCCCAGCTGCTTTTGTCCTGGGAAATGAGATGGGCTTGTCTTCCTATGAGATTAAGCTCTTGTGAGAGTTCCTGCTTTTACAAAAGACTGAATCTTTTTCTTATCTTCCAGTGTTTTCTTATCTTAAATAAAGTGGTTATTTTTCCTAGCTTTATTGGGATTAATCTATCCACTGCGATGTCTATTGTCAAGCTAGGTGCTGTACAATTTGCACAGGAAAAGCCCATGTCAATCTAGCAGAAGGGACACCTTCTGTGCTTTCGCCTGGTAGCAGCAGTTTTTAGACACAAGTGAGAGCTGGGAGGGTGATCTGAGATCTGCCACAATTAGGAGCCCTTTGGGAACATAAAACATCATTGTGCCGCGGTGCTAGCTCCACATCAGTAACACATTTCCTGGCTCCTGCTTAATTCTCTCTCATCTCCAGGCCCCCTGTGGTCATTCTCATGTTTCTGTAGGTCTTTGAAACCTTCTGTAGTCTTCAAATAATTCATGCCACCTTCCAGCCTCAGAGTTTTCATCCGAGTGTCCCCAGATCAAGCTAAGATGAGAGAAGTTCAGTGTCACAAAGGCAAAGACAATGCTTTGTGTGGCGTGCAGGGCCCTGCGCTGGGGAATGGCGCTGAGAGATGCTGCTGGCTGGTAGCACTGGTTTTACTCGTGCTGCCCCTCACAGGAGGCTGCTCCAGCTCTTCTGGGCTCTGGAGATGTTCCTCTTGTTTCCAGCACCGAGACCTCAGCACCATGCACAGTGTCGGCCTGAGGTTTCCTCAGGCCCTAGCAGAGCTCACAGCCCCGCTGCTGTCACCCAGCAGGGTCTCCCAAAAAGCAGCGTGTTTGCTTGATTAAGGGAACTGGAGAAGGCACGAGGAGCCACGTAATTTGTCTAGTGGAAACCAGGAATGGCAGGAATTTTTACTAATTTGCGTGGCTGGCTTTGGCCTTAGATGAGATGGTACAAACCCATTACAGGAGACAAAGCAAAGAGCTGTGTGCGCAGAGGAAAACTGAGGATTTCTGGGATCCAAAGCTTAAAGATCGTGTTTGTGAACGCAGGGCCCAAGCGTTGGCTGCGATGTATTAAAGGTGCTGTGTAAATGCGAACGCCTCAGGCTCTCAGCTTGTTTTGTCCCTTCTCATACCTACAGGGGGCAACACGAAAGCTGGGGAGGGACTCTTTGTTGGGGAGTGCCAGGACAAAGGGGAACGGCTTTAAGCTGAAAGCGGGCAGGTTTAGATTAGACATTAAGGAAGAAATTCTTCCCTCAGAGGGCGGTGAGGCCCTGGCCCAGGCTGCCCAGAGGAGCTGTGGGCGCCACATGCCTGGAGACCAGGCTGGGTGGGGCTGGGGGCAGCCTGGGCTGGTGGGGTGGAAATAGAAATAAAGAAGAAAAGAAATAAAGGAGGGGAGAAATAAAGGAGAAGAGAAATAAATTAGACATAAGAAAGGAAAAAATAAATAAATAAGGGAAAAAAAAGGGGAAGAAGGATAAAACAAGGGGAAAAACGGGGGAAAAAGGAAGGAGAAAAAAAAAAAAAAAGGAAAAGGGACAGCAGCAGGCAGGGGGAGGCCGCGGGCGGCAGAGGGGCGGCAGCCCCCGCCCCCCGTCCCGCCCCGTCCCCCCGCCCGGCCCGGCCCGGCCCGGCCCGGCCCTTTCTGTCCCCTCCGCCGCCCCGTACGGCCGCTGGCGGCTCGGTGCGGCGGGGCGCGGCACCGGGAGGCACGGCACGGAGCGGCACCGGCACCGGGAGCGGGAGGCACGGGGCGGGCAGCATGGCCGAGATCGGCATCGACCAGTCCAAGCTGCCCGGCGTCAAGGAAGGTAGGGCCGGGGCGAGCCCCTTGTGCCGCCGGGGGGAGCTCCGGGGACACCGGGGGGGGCACTGGGGACACTGGGGGGGCACTGGGGGGGCACCGGGGGGCACTTGCAGCCCACCCCCGGTCGCCCACCCTCTGTCAGGGCTGGGGTTGGTTCTGTGACCCGTCCCCATGCAGCCCGTGCTCCCCAACGTGTTTCCCTTGCTGCTCGTTTAATTGTTCTTAATTTCATTTTAACCAAATCAGCCCGAATTTGGCTCTTTTGGCTGGTCGGGAGCTGGGGGTGTGTGTTAGTGCAGAGAGCTGACCCCTCGCGTGCCGCGGTGCTTGTGGACAAAACCCCACAGCCGCCTGCTGAACTTTCAGGGCTGAGCCTTGGTCCCGTTGGGTCGTTAGCGAAATTGTTAATGGGCACTAATGAAATCACAGCCGGTCCTCTCGGTGCTGCCAGGGGCTCATCCTTAGAGCCCGCCCGGCGTGGTTCCTCGAGGAAATTAACCCGGTCAACCTCAGCAGCGGGCTGATAAGGTTGAGTTATCGGGGCAGCTCAGCGAAAGCGTGGCGATGGGGTGAAGTTCAGCCCGTCCCTGTGAATTCCCACCTCTGGCATTTCAGGAGGTGTCGGTACCCGATAGCTCTTGGCTCAACGCGCTGGCCCCAGCAGCTCTGGGGACAAGGTAGGTGAGGCCCGAGCTGCTCTGTGCAAAGCCTCGGGCATGTTTCCTGCTCCTAGCTCCGTCATACCCATTTGTTTTTGTTGTTTTAAGGGTTGATTCAGGGCTATGCCGTGGATTAGGTGCTGTGTTAACACCAAGCAGGAAAGAAAAGCATCGCCTTCCGTACCTGGGGGGACACGTTTATTGTTCCTGACACAGAAATCACTGTTGATCCTTCGGGAAAGACTTCCCCTTTCTCCGTGTTGGGCAAAGGTCGGCTTGGTCATTCATTAACAGCTGAGCACGGTCCTGCTGCGGTGGTGTGGTTCCAGTACTTTGTTCTTCACTCGCTCCCCTTCTGGAGGGGGGTGTCTGTCTGTCTGTCCACGTCCAGCTTTCCTCACTGGTGCCTGGGACGGCTGCACGACAGTGTCGTCCTGCTCCTTTGTTGTGGGCTCCAAAGCTGCTCTACAGGCGGGGTCGTTTCCCTGCAAGGATGGCAGGGAAAATCCAATGCCCGTGGCTTACTACTTACTGCTTACTTCCTTTATTTTATTTTATTTTTTATTTTTAAAGACATTTATAATAGCTGAAAGCGTGGCGTCGATGGAGCTTTGCTGGTGAAAACTGCTTCAGCCAGTCCGGTTTACTTAGTGGGCAGGAGTTTACTGCTGTAAGATATAACCTCAAAACACTCTCCAAGCGTAAGCTACAGCTTGGTGCTGCAGCCTGCTGTTACCAAGCCGCTTTTTCCAGGCATGCAGAGTTCATGTTCTGACCGCTGTGGTCAGTAAAGCTCTTGTAAGACGTTTGCTGAAGGTTTTGGTGGTGGTTGCAATATGTGGGCTGAGCATCTCTGCCAGTATTTCCACTTGCTTCTCAAGTGCCTGTGACATTTTCTCTTTTCACAAAGCAGCTTTTGCTGCGTGCTCCTTTGACCCTCCCCGGGGGATCGCTCAGCTGTCTGTGTGTCGATCTTTTTTTTTTTTTTTTTTTTTTTTTTACTGGAGGCTACTTTAATTTGCGAGCCTTTCAGGGACAAAAGCATCCTGGAAATATAATTTTAATTAGTTACTTATAAAACGAGTAAGAAAACTGGCTCGAGCTCTGCTTGGTCTCTGTTTGTCTTTCCCCTCCTGATCTCAGTGCTGGTCTGACGGTGCTGAGGAGAGAGAAGGGAGTCAGGGGGCAGGGCAGGAGAGATCCTGCACTCTGGTCTGGCAGTACCCGGCTCTTTGGAACTGTAGCAAATAGCAACAGCTTAAGTTTTTATTTCATTTTATTTTTAATAGCATTAAAAAAGTATGAGGCAATGTGTCTGTGTCAGTCATTACAATCAACCCAGCCACACTGCTGCTGCTTAAGCTCCAGTCTTGACAAAGGCGAATTGTCACCCCCACCTGCGCTGTGAGAGGCACAGCAGCACTGCTCACCTTATGACTTTTATTTATTGTCTAATTTGACGTCCTGAAGCTCCTGATCCGTACTATAAAATGCTGCTGGTTGTTTCCCAAACATAGAAGCAGAAGATGCACCTCCCAGTGCTGCCACAGGCAAACAGAAGTTGGACAAGACAACCCCGGGGCAGGCAGACTAGCTGGCTTTAGCGGACACGGAATAAAAGTTTGCTGTAAGCATCTGTCTTCCTCCCAGCCACAGCTCCTTCCCTCTGACCCCTGCAGCTTAACCTGACCTTCACTGAGACTCCTGCAACAAAAGCCTGCTGGGGGGAAGCGACAGAGGGACGGATACCTCCGGGGACAGCCTGCCGACCTGATGGGTTTATGGCAGGGCTCGCAGTGTGTGCTCAGCTACACGGCGGTGGAGGAAGGAACTCGACGTCTGTCAGAAATGCACATGGGTTCAGAAAGCTTTGATGGCTGGCACGGTATCTGGCGAGGAATGTGTGGGGCTGGATTCTGCCTTCGGGTTTTTCAAGAGGGGGGTGTTGAGGGGTGAGCTGTCAGCCGTGCTCGTGTGAAGGAAGGGTTCAACTTCAGGTGGTGTCAGCGGGACAGCTTTGAGAGCGGCTGACGGTCAGCCGGGTCACCGTGAAGCCACCTGCACCGTGCCCTTTGGCTCCAGCTGATGTTTTTTTCATGGAGCCTGATGTGCAGTGTCCCAGCTCTCTGCTTTGTGACTTCCTCTGAGAAGCGCTCTGAAAAATTCAGGCGAGCTGGATGGCTCGAGGGCAGCGGGGCGGTGGAGGCTGATGGGACGTGGACACAAGATTTTCTTTCTAGGTCACTGGTTCATGTCCAGCTCTTCTGAGTAATAGGAGGTCTGTTTTTCCAGTGTGCATGAATTCAGTAGCTGCGGCTGTGGTGCTCGTTTTGCCTCTGGTTAAAGCTGGGTGAAAGTTTTATTATGCATTCAGTTGTTCCGGGTCTGCAGCACTTGGCAGAGGGGATGGGCAGGATTAGCATTTCATGCTCGTGGCTCCAGAGCAAGCAGGTCTGCCTCCTCCCAGCCCTTAAATCCTCGCGCTGTCCTCCGTGAGCTGCCATGAGCGTTGTACCAAGGCAAAAAGATTGCCCAAAAAGCAGACTTTGGCAGAGAGAAGCTTCCAAACTCAGGTTGATGCCTTCTGCAGACAGAGATTTCCTTAGCTACTGACAGCAGAGAAGTTTCGGGGCCGGAATAAAGGGTGCACAGCCTGTTTTGTCCCAACTTCTGGAGGTGGCCAGGAGGCAGAGGGAGTTCCCAATACTAGGACGTTGGC